TGCTCTAGCATCCAGTCAGACAAACCTCTTAGAATTCCACAGTGTTCCTTCTCACCCCCGGTTCTTTGCATTTGCTTCTTTCCTGTCTCTGGCATATTTTTGCCTTGTCCTTCAGTTAGCAACTGACATATCTCCTCCACCAAAAGCCTACAATATTGACTCAAAACCGGGATAGATGTCCCTTCTGTGTGTTCCAATAGTTTTCTGCTTTATACCTGTCATAGAATCTATGACTCTGTATGGAAATGGCCTATTTGTGTGGTTTTTTTTAGGATAGTGCCTGATTGTTGAGGAGTGGACTGTATCGTTTCATCTTGTAATTCTAGTGTTTGTCCTAGTAACTTAGCACATGGTTGTTACTAAATGAATGAAGAATGAGAACAGCAGAAGATCTGATACTTAACCACCATGATGATTAATTCAATCAAATATGGACAAATTATATTTACTAATAATTTTGTGTTGTGGTCATACATACATGATTTTTTAGTCCTATTAGCAATGATCATGTTCTCCACTCTTTAGGTAAAGAATATAATTGTTTTCTTTTTTTCTTTCAGTTATGACTGAATTGGAATCTTACAGAGTTTCTTCCATAGGAACTACTGATTCATCACATCTAAATAAAGATTAAACTCGGAAAGTACCACAGGATATGTACTGGTTTTAAAGGAAAATTTATAAGAAATGAAAATTTATAGGAAGCTACATTCATGTGTTTTAGTTATGTTTCTGATGACATCGTTACTTGTGTCTATATGCATGAAACACTCCAGAGTGACAGCACATGGTGCACTTTCTTGAGAGCAGTGATTCTAAAACTGTGAGAACACAAGGAGTTTGTTTCCCTTTGATCTAGTGTGAACACTCAGAAGGACACTGGACTCACAGTGACCATGCAGTTTGTTTGCACTGCCAAACACTTCTTAGCCTGGGCCAGAGACCTCACGGCCAGATCTAATGATCACAATGCCTGTGAGTTTGACACTTTGCTTCTGATTTGGGTTTTCTG